GTCTTCAAGTCCTTTTGGAGTAGAGAGTTTTAYAATCTGTGTGTGTTCAGAAGTAGCCACTGGTTTTAGGAGTTCCACCGGTGCYGCAGCTGGTCACGGCTGTAATGTGGCTGCTCAGAGTTAAAGGATGCATTTACTGGACTTTTCCAARTCAATGCACTTGCTGGACTTTTCCAACAAGCCCCTCCCTTCCAAGTTTCTTTTACTGTTCTGTTCCCCATGGTTTGACCATGAAGCCAGCTGACATCTCCCAGGAGATGTCACCAGAGGGTATCTGTGGGGTTTGCTAGTACCAGATGCACCACGCTGCACTGATTTTTATAATGCAGTGTRTGAATATTTTTGACTTGTCTCTGAAAGCTCCATATAATGTATTTTTGTGTAGGAAACATAAACAGTAGAAGTTGCATGTTTCTTTCACTTCTTTCATCAAAGTGCTTATTCAGAAGAAGTAGTCTTACTTACTGCAGCTGTATCTGGGCACTCTTGCAATGTGCTGGGAAAGTGTTGTTGTTTCTATAGAAAACTAGTATGGCCAAGATACTTAAACAGCAACAGGATTAAATTTAAAAAGTCTTGTTAAAATAAAATACAAAAAATATGCTTCAAATGTGATGTGTCAAGTAAAAATTGTGYTTATGGTGTAAAAATACGGTAGTTGCTGCACTTTGCCTGTCAGATGCTTTGGTTTAATTGGCAGCTRCAGAGCAAATGCAGCCTGAGAGCCCTATCTGTCTCACCCACTCGTCTGTTCAAGGTGCCTTGTTGAGGACCTTTATCAAAAAATGTTKTAGGATTTCTTTTCAATCTATGACTTGCACCTTGAGTGGATCTTCAGCTTGTCAAGGTTCCCTGGATTAAATCACCAACGAGACATTTGTGATTGACTTCAGCAGCCAAGCTGTGACTTGGATTCCCACTGGCCACAGTTTCAAAGCTGCAGCCTCTTCCCAAAGAGAGAAACTTCTCCCTGTTTCACTCGCTTTGGGTTGGGAGCAAATATATGGGAAAGAACTTCAGTTCTCTCTGCAGCTTTATTATGGCTTGTAAAGCAATTAAGTAGGACTTARGACACTGTTCTCCCAGACAGAAAAGCCTTAGGACTGAGAAATATACTGTATTGCTCTGTGTATTAGTGCTGTTGCCAGATTTAAGATGTTTCATTTTATTATTGGTACTGTGCCTGTTTTGGGTGAAAATGTACTGCAAATAGTGAGGTACTACACCCATACCTAAAATACATCTCTTCAGATATGGATAGAAAAACAGGAGTCATTCAGAAAGACATTTACAGTATGTATTAAACTCCTAATATGGGGAAGTTAATCAGAATTAGTATYCTGAAATACACCACATCACTAGTGTGAAACATTATTGAAGGCCACTGTAAACAGCACAGTTTTAGTTAAAAGCTGTTTCCAAGATGAAAGATAGATTAAATGAGCTACAGCCTGGATGAGAAATTCCTCATGAGGAATTAATGGTAAAGCTTCTCATAATCTTTYATGCTTTGGCTAAAAATATTAGCACCATAAAAATTCTTGGGAGGGAGGCAGGGTTGTGGTGGTGGATGCAGAGTAATCAAAACATAAAAGAGGCAAATTCTCCCTTTTTATGGAGAGGCCTCTTTCAAATCTGTCATATGATGGATTTGAAATGAAAGTTTAATGTGCATTCAGTTTCTCAGACAGCCATCTTTCTACAGCTTCATTATTAATAATAATTTAATTTTAGCCAACTCTTTTTCCCTGAGCTCTTGATAATTCATATATYTTATTTGTTTAGCATCAATCTAAGAAAAAATACTCAGATCATAAAGTTAAGGAAGTTTTCCACATTAATAAACCAATGTAAATCCAGCCTCCAATACATGTTGCAGAAGTGTTTAATCCAGASTTGTTTGAATTAAAAAGTAACAAAGTGTAAATAACATATAAATAGCAAATAAATAATGTGACTGGATTTCATATTTAATCTCTGTGCAATATTTTTTGAGTTCTAACTTTTCCTCTCAGCACTGTATGACTAATGATGAGACCATTTTCATGGTTGATATGATAGAAAATATTTTTCAACTGATATTCACAGTATATAGTTTTGTGTCAGTGAATGAGACTTGGGAAGCAAGTGGATGTATAATAGCTCTTGGGAAAATAAACATAGAACATTAAAAGCAAAGTTCAAAGTGTGTGAATACATTTACAGAGTCTAATCCAAAGCCATTACATTAATTTATATTTTTGCTTTTATAAAAACATTTGATCAATATTTAACAAATTATAAATAGTTGGGTAGTCAGCAACAACCCTCAAAGTCAAAAAGACTTTTAGTTTTACAACCTAACAAGGCAAGGGCGCTGACAGTGTCACTGTCCCTTCACATGGGACATTCTGTTCTGAGTCTTGCAGCCAAAGCAGAAAGACTGCTTCTGTTAGTTAATTAATTTAATTCAGATGTCTGGAGTACATATAAACAATGTAAGTTTATTCTCTGATGTGTATTACTTTGGAATYAGTGGCATAAATTTAATTTCCCATCATTTAGGCCATACTTGTAGACTTCGTAAGTTTTTCCCTGTAGCATAAACAGTTGTGTATAATGTTCAGAACGTTTTAACTGAGTATCACAGTTGTTGAGACAGGGCAAAGAAGCAGCAGTCTCTGGAGTGACTGGGTCCTTGACCCTAAATTTTTTAAAATTCAAAGCTTGTACCTTGAATTTTCATTTTAAAAAGTAAATTACCAAACAATATACAGCCAAGGGTATTACTCAGTTTTGTTGTCTCTTGTTGTCTCTTTTAAAGTCTTTATTTGCAAATTCTCTTGTAATGAAATTGAAAATCCATGTGTAGCGCCATTAGAGAAAGTGTTCTGTTGTTCCTGTGTACTTAAGCAGTGTCTGATAGGGTTTCAGCCCACTGTATTACTGTATTTTGAAAGAACATGCAACTTTAGTATTGCATTAATTGTGCACATTTATGTGGCAGGAGTTTCTGACTTTAAGGATTTAAAATTAAAACCCCTAGATTATGAAAGTAGTAATGAGATGGCACAGAGGCCCTCTGTCACCAAACCATTGACTTGCCCATGATAACAAAGGCACTGCATTGCCCAGCTGGATATTGAATCTATATTTTATCCTTCCCTGGCTAATACCTGATTTGCAAGTCACATTTTTTWATGCAGGAGATCCTACCAGTATTTTCAGAGAGCTCAGCACTCCAAGCAGTGCTGCAGGTTGGGGCTCTGCAGATGTTCTGGCAAAAAAAATCAAGTTCTGAAAAGAAAGTGGAGGGACCAGCCAAATGGCTTCATGAAGAATAAYGGGAACGTTTGACAACTCAGGGTATTCATGTGCCCCTAAATTGATTGGTCCTTCAGCATTGTGTAATGCACTGTTTTTCTGTATCTGACTGGTGTGGTTTGAACTTGACTGAAAGCCAAAACATCCACAATGTTCCCTCCCCTGCCACCGGAGAGGCAGAAGGGAGAACAAAAGCCCAATTAACACTAAARTTTATGGCTTTTAGATAAGATAACRTAATTGAGAGAAAGATACGTGTATGCTCCAGAGAATGGTCAGACAGGCTGAATAACTTAAATTGCAAAGTAGATTTATTACTAAAAACTACTAAAAAACTACTACACCGGGGAGGGGAACAAAGATAGGGAAAAATATACAAGGAGAAGAAAATAAAAAATGGACATTTTAAGACACCTTTTATCCTTTCTGGGAACCTGTCCCAGGTCATCCTTCCCCACCCCTCCATGCCTTCCTGTGTGCGAGAGAGGCAGGGGATGAAAGTTTAACAAAGATCAAACTACTCATTATGGTTATCRTCCAGCACCAYAGGAGAAGAGTCCTTAYAGCTCTGAGSTGTGGRAGTTCTTTTCCCAAGAAACAGTCAGTGTATAACTGCTGATGGCATGGGATGCTTTTTCTTTACCTTGTGGGAGAAGAGAAAACAGTCCTCCAAGGCCACTGTCTCAAATCTTGTGGCAGGACACAATTTCTTCTAAGCGTCAGCTCGCTTCAGACGTGAGGGGGGGCCAAGCCTCTTTCCCCTTTTTGGTTTATGATCAGTCCAGTCCTCCAAGGCCAGGTTTTTTTCAGAGCAAGGTTGCTCTCCTTTTCTATACAGGTCTCCCAATGAAGAAATAGTTCTTTCGAGATCAGCTTGTTTTCTCCATGTTCRAGCACCACAGCAACAGCACCTGTCTTCTCCTTACTGATCTTGGGTCTCCATTTTTTTTCTTACATCCCCTCACCCTCCTCCTCTGTCTTGATACCAACAACCTAAAAACTACATGGTGGCTGCGCTCTATCTTGTTTTGAATTCTTAAGTACAAGACCAAACGTCATCACAGAGGTGTAACTGCCTGTGCAATTGGCCCAGGCCTGACCAGCAGCCTGTCCATCAACCTCAGAGCCAYAATGGATTGGTTCTRAAACACAGGGGGMAGGGCTCCTTTTGCTGGAGAAGAAGGAGAAAGMTTCTAGAACTTTGTCACAGGAGCCATCTTTGTGGKTTCTTGTTCCCATCCCYCCAYCACCAAATAACTGGACCGAGTGAAACCAGGACACTGACTGTGTTTTGTTCTCCCTAAATCACAAAATAGTCTGTTCAATGGGAAGAAAGTGCAGGAAAACCACTTCCTTGGCATCCATATGTGTAGTGTGTGCTGCTGGCTGGCTGCAAGTCACGTGGCCACCTGGGAGAAACTGTTGAAAAAGGTTTCCAAGCTGTCTTTGATTTTTCTTTCGTTTCTTACAGCATAAACGTACAAAGCGTTGAGWCAAAGTTTTCTGAGATGTGTTTGTGTTTGGTTTGTYGGGGTTTTTTCCCCACATGTAGTAATAGAACTCTGTTCTTAAGCTTTGTTCCCCGGCATCAGAGAATACCTAACAGTGTTCTGTGCAGCTGTGGGAATTGTTTGGGCAGCAGTGTGGGATGGTGCTTTCCCCTGACCAAATCCTTTGTGTTTGTGTCCCCYGTCCAGCCCTGCGCAGCCGCTCGGGACGCTCCATCATCAACGGGAACTGGGCCATCGACCGCCCGGGCAGATACGAAGGTGGTGGGACAATGTTCACTTACAGACGCCCCAATGAGATCTCCAGCACAGCAGGGGAGTCGTTTCTTGCTGATGGGCCAACAAATGAAGTCCTTGATGTCTATGTGAGTTAGTATTTAAATTAATCTTCCTAATGGAAAAGAAATTGTTCAGTTCACTGTTGAAGTGCAATACTAAAATTGCATCCTGTATCAACACTTTCTTACTTTAATTTTGAAATATTTTGATATTTTACGCTTGTTTGTTGTTGTATCCATCTTGCTCCAGATCATAGGAAATCTAAATCAAGCCTTCTTCTCTCAGGTTTTACTGAACCACTAAAACCAATTTAACTTTTTCAGTGAAGT